AGTCTTTTTGGCAATATTACAGAAGTGGTGTTTGCCTTTGTCTACTTCTTTCTTGGGCTAAGAGAAAAAATGTCAGGCCCAAGATCACCAAGCTGGCTCTTGGACAAAGGCAGAACTAAAACTCATGATCTCCTGGTTTTTAGCTCAATGCCTTAATGTCTACACCAAACTGGCATATTTATTACTGCTCAATTTAGTATTAATGATTAATATTATTATATGAATAGTGCTAAAATGAAAACATTCTAAAAAAGGTTTCCTAATTTTTGATCAATAGTCGCAGAGTTAACAACTCAGCCCAAGAAATTAATTTCTAATACTCTTCCTGTACCCTCTCCTCATTTGGTGCAGGACTGAATACTTAATTTTTGTCATTTTATAGTTCTAATTGGAGTATTTCCACTACCCCCAGAATGACCCCTGTTTTGTTGTTTTTGCTGTTTATTAGATTATTTTAATCTGGGCTGTCTGTTTAATTCAATGTTTTGAGCTATTTCCGTTTTTTCTAATTCTGTATGCTGCCCAGAGCCCACTGAAGTAGGAAGGCCAATAAATTTAAATATACAAATGAATGAATAATAGATGTGTTTTTGGTTGTTTTATTATATTAAGTTCATTTCTATAAGTGTGGTAAGCCTCAGTGAGACAGGACATATTTGACATTTGCACTTACACAATACAATCGTATTTAAATATTTGGAGGTCTAAAATTTCAAGTGAACCAGTTCTCTTACAGTGGCAGGCAGACATTGTTCCAATATCATTTCATTTTCAAAATGATTTGATATGCAGTCATTGCCAGGCTTTTGTGTTTCATTTTGTTTCATTTTAGGGAGGGAGTAGAAAACAACATAAGAACTTACTCACACCAGTACATATGCCTATGATTTCCAATTTAATGTATGAATAAGCTCCATTAAAAGATACTAGAATCGTGTAAAAGGACAAACACTTTTAGCCTCCTTCAGCCACCTTGAGAGTGCAGCCATTAGAAATAAAACTGTACCTGCAAATCATTATTGGCTATATCAGTTACTGGTACCATTTGCATATGATGCTAATAAGCTATAGTTTGGCTTTTGTCCAGCAATAGGTTTACACTTGGCAAATCAGCTGAGTTAAAAAAGAATTCTACATAATTTCTACTTCCAGTTCCAGATATCTGAATAAGATTCAAAGAATGAAAGTGAAGCGGATATAAAAAATATGAGGGCTACAGCAAAATCTCTCAACTATATTCCATCCCCTCAACTTAAAGAATGTCCAGACATACTGAGACTTCAACTTCCAGAGACATACATTGCGTGGCCAAAGGATGAAAATTCTTATAAATGTAATTCCCTGATGAGAAAAACTGTGATAATTGTTTTAATTTGCGAAAGTCATATTAATTCTAGATACAAATATATGTAAACCAAAGCCTTCAGGAAAACATTAAGGTGCTATATAATTAAGGACATTAAAGCAGGTTTCAGAGAAATACCAAAATTAAGGCGGGCAGACAAAGCCAGTTCCTAAACAAATGTTTCATTTCCTTTCAGTGGTGAAATGGGGAGGGGTAAAATGTAAAGCATTGATATAGCTAACAAGCTGTATTGCCTCAGAAAAGGAAATAGCTGACAGTTTCTATCAAGTTTTTAAAATAAACAGGAAGTTAAGTGGAAAAGGAAAAAGCAAGCCACACTCAATACTCATATGTCTTTCACTTCAAACAAATGGAAAACTGCAAGCCAAGACTGTTTATGCTACTGACATTGGTAACATCAGGCATTAAAACAATTATCAAACTATATTAGTTCAAATATACAAAACAGTTTTTCTTTTTTTAAAAGCAAAGATTTTACAGCAATATTTAGTAACAAAATCTGATAATAACTTTATTTGGTAGATTTATGTTTATTTTTTGGCAAAACCTTGGCCAGTAGGTTTTGCCAAAACACTTCTAAAGAAAAAAGGGATTTCTTTTATCTGCAATTTACAGAAGCACTGACATTTTTGCCCTCATGATTTCAAAATTGGCATGGCACTTAATGATTAATTGAAAGCTGAACCTAGAGAGAATTTTTGGTATTCTAACTCAAGTGCAGCAAATAAAATACTGGCCACTTCATGAACACACTGACTTTGTCTAGATTTTTTTGTTTTTACAATTCAGAGGCTCCAAAAACTAAGTTTTAAACTATGTGTTTTAAAGCAGATTCTAATCTGATATCTCAAGTATCAAGGAAAATTCTGGCCCCAAATTATACAAAAATTAAAATTTTAAATTTTTTAAAATTTAAAAGTTATGAGCACAACTCTCACACCAGTATGAAACTATGGCTTTTAATCCATTTGTACTTATGTATTTAAATCAGTTTTTTAATGATAAACAACAATCTGTGTTCAGCATGATGTGAATAAGCTTTGAATAGTTTATAATTACCACGAAAAAGCATGGAAATTGCAGTCCTTTAACATGATAATCCACATGTTGTCTTTGGCAAAGGCACAATATTATTGTCAAAAGCATCGTATTACTGATAATTAGTAATAAAATAATAAGGAAAGAAGGGACTTAATGTTCATGTTTAATTTTTGAAGCACATTTAAATGGCCAAAACATAAAATCATTCATATTATCATAATGTCTGAGATCTTACTGGCAGTCCTAAAATACTGAGTTATCTATATACTCTAAAACCTTGAATCTGTAGGATATTTTAAACAAATTATGAACAAATATTTAGTTTAATGCAAAATCACATTTGTCTGTATATCTACACATGTTTTCACCAGATTCTAATAACTTGTTGATAAGCATTTTGAAACAGTCAAGAATCTTATTCTATGGCTAGGCCATTTTTATAGGCAAAACTAAACTCATTCACTCTTGCAAGTGAAAAAGAGGGAACTATATCAGTTACTATGAATCCTTTGCTTTGCCTTACAAAAATGGATATCTACCTTTGTCTTCACAGAATGATTACAAACTGTCACCACAGAACAATATTAACATTAGGCCACTGAACCACTATAGAAAGAGTTTGAGCATCAAGCTTCAGATGGCCACAATCCTTATTGATTTAACTCTACATAAGACTAATAGTTAAGTATAAGATTAAGAATGTACCAATTATTTCTAGTCACCTCATCAGAACTGAGAGAGCATGCTCCAGGTCCTCTCTATTAAACATCTCATCTTATGTTGTTGTGCCTTCTCTGCTCCTGACCAGTGTAATAACATCTCCCCCCAGGTTTAATAACATCTCCCCCCAGGTTTAAAGACACAGGTGTTCCATATAGCATTTGGGCCAGGATATTAAGCAAACTCCATTAATTGTTTCATTTGGTTGTTTTCACTGATTGTAAATTCTGAATGTTTTAGATGTTAAATAGATGTTCTATTGATAGTATTGGTAAGACTAACTGAGTTGTGTTTTTAATGTTCTGTTTGCCACCTAGAATCACAGCAGTGAGATGACTGGCCATATTGATTGTTAACTTAGATAAGAGTTAGCCTGGGGTAAGATAGGTGGCCAATTAAAAAAAAAAAAAAAAGAGAGAGAGAGAGAGAGAGAGAGAGAGAGAGAGAGAGAGAGAGAGAGAGAGAGAGAGAGAGAGAGAGAGAGAGAGAAGGTAGGGAGGTTAAATGTAGTACAGGGTTTTAGGGTTGATTCCCCAATAAGATATAGCCTGATGAGGCCCAACCAGCCTGCTACATAAGCTCCAGAGCCAAATTTGAAGCATTAAAGCCAGGTGAGAGCTGATCAATTATGCCGTATATAGTAGACTATGTAGGTCTTTAGTAAAATGAGGCTCTGGAAAGTCAGAAACTAATGCTTGTTGAGTTTCTTCTCTATGGTATTGCTTAATTATTCTTAAAACAATTACTCTTGTCATTCCTCTGTCTCTGTCTGTTATTTCATTCTATCAATAAGAGCTAATTATGTGAAGTAGGAGACATGAAAACAAAGAAAAATGATGTCAGAAAACAACATGAGTTATGCTAGATAGAAGAAATAATGCTTTATTAACAATACATTGTTACTTATTTAAGTGTTAAATTTAAGTTATAAGATTATCCCAGTTTTTTTTCAACTAACATATATATAGGCATTGTAAAGTACACTACATAAAACATTACTTTTACACAATTCCCATCCCTAAGGAATGCATGACTGGGGACTAACTGCACTCTTTTCTAGGCCATGAGAGTCTGGCTAATATCTGGTTCAAAATGGAACTGCCTATTTGCTGATCAGTCACAATCAATATAGCAGAATACCATGCAAGAGCAGCATTGGTTGCCTGTTGGCTCCCAGATCCAAGTCCCAATATAGTGCTAAAAACTTTTATGACTTTTATGGCTTGTTCAGGACCATCTCATCCAGGTAGAATCTTATTGCTCACTTTGTCCTAGACAAAAATTGTTCCTTTCAAGATTTTAAATGGGAAGAACTTAGAAATAAACCTATTCCATAGAAGCATCCTTGTTCAGGAATAGTCTGTTCATCCCAAGGTTAGGATCCCCCCCCCCCCAGCAAATATATTGAGACTGCATTTCCACAAGCCATTGGGGGCGAAGGTGCCACTGAACCAGAGACACCAACTCAAAGTAATAGATGACTACCTTGAGTTTCAAATGTAATTAATCCATGGAGAAGGCAGCTTGCAAATGTCAGAGTAAATAGATAAATAAAATAAAAGCATACAAAACACTGATATCTTCATAACGGAGAATGTTAGAATACATTTAAAAGCAAAAGCCCCATTTTCTGATTTTCTTTCAGTGAGGCAGTGATCACTTCCCATTAGGAAAGAATAAAAAAGGATTTTGTTTTTTCTTTACAAAAAAAAAAAAACTATTTGCAAATTGAAATCATCTTCTATCTATATTCTGAATTAACAGAAACTATACCTATACTTCTTTAATAAAACAAATCCTTAATATGACACTCCAGCTAGACATTTGTATAAAACGTTTGTAAAATTAACTCAGGGTTTAGATACAGACTTACCCAATGTGTCTTTCAGATTTTTAACCAAGGAGCCTTTCTTCAAGCTGTTCTTTCTCTCCACATAATTTGATGGCACATATCCTGTTTTGTTGGCTGCATTTCTTACTCTCCACCATGTCTTGGAATCATCCAGCAGCCAGAGGCGTTCATTCTTTTTTATGTCAAGTTCTTGGTCCTGTTGGGCAGTATAATCCCACTTCGCTATAACAATAACTTCTTCTGTCATCTTTCATGGAGTCTCTCTGTCATAAAACAAATAGATGCATTGAAACATTCATGAGTTCCTTCACCATTCATTCAAACTTTAAGGCCCTGAAAAAAGTTAGAAAATATTTTTAAGAATATATACCATTCAGTAATCATTACCATGTGTAAAATACGAATTCACTGAAATGTATTCTCTGCCTCGATGATTAGTGAATAGAACAGAAGAAACTGAGGGCCTTAAAAGCACAACAGACTGATATGACTTTTTTATTCAACTTCATGACAAACTGGCTCATAGACTATGCTCAGCTTAGCACAATATGCTAATAGCACAATAATTCTAATGGAAAAGAGTTCAGTCCTCACAGTCCATGATCTTGTAATTCTAGTGAATGACATGCAGGCTTTTCTGCATGAATATTTTCCCATTAAACAGAAACACAATTCCCCTTAATAAATACAGGTTAATATCTTTGTGCTATAGATTTTCCTAGGCAACTTCATTATCACTGTTTCTTTTATTTAACCTTCTTCATCCCTCCCATTGCACTCACTTGACCATAGAACACAAGCACTATTAATTTCACATAAAACTTACCCAGTTCATATTTCTGAAAATTAGCTACTTTATAACCTAGAAGCTGATATGGCAAATTAAGCACAGCAATACTGTGAAATCTTGTCGGGAGAGAGACTATCCCAATCAGGAGAATGGGTCAAGTGGAGGATTAGTCTGGAATTATTAGTAGACACAACAAAGCAAGGTCTGACATTTCAATGCCAATGAACCTTATCAAGTTTGGGCAACTAAGGCTGGGAAGTTTCCTGTGAAATAGGCAATAAACAAACAATAAAAGTAGCCAGTTTATACTCTTCACCTTTAGGTCAGGTTGTCTGCCCCTGACAAATCCTTGTGGAATATAAACTGGAATATGTATAAGTTCCAAATTTATTAATAACATTTTTATTAACTACATGATTAGTAATTCTTTGTCAAAAACAATTTGTTTCCTTTTAAAGTAAGAATGCCATATTCAACACAGGACCAATTTATTGATATTGCTCTACTTCTTTTACTCCAAAAAATTGTTTCTGCAATTAGAGCTATGAAATTGAGGAAATTGCCTTTTCGCCTTTTCCAGTCTAGCTTAAAAAGGGCATTTCTGGTTTTCTAATCTGCTTTTACTAGAACTTTTAGGTGAAACTTTTATTTAGAACAAATGTTGTTATGGCGGGCAAAGATTCCACTCTATGATCTAATTATAAATCATTTTTCTTGATAAAGTGGGTATTGAGATTTTTTAACAACTACTTTCATTACAGACAACTTTTCCCAATCTAGCAAAAAGTGCATTATTGCAGAACTGATTTTGATACATGTACTTATAAACACTTACAACTATGGGATAATCCCAGCATAAAAATAGCATTTAAATTTGGTGGTGCGTTTTTTTTTTGTTTTTTTTTGCAAACTGGATATCTCATAATTACTTCACTTCAAGGAAGATATTTCGGAATTAAAAAGATGTGATTTACTTCAATGTATTTTTTCAGTAGTTACTTGGGCATTTGCTATTTGTTTTATAACTGCTTCTTCCTGAGCTATAGTCCCTATTTATAAGCAGCTGAAGAAAGCTAATATTAGTTATATATGCAGTCTCTGGAATAATGAACTGGAATGTCTTTTCATGATAAAATAAGAGATGTCAATTTTTAACCAATGTGAAATTGGGTTTCTTGATATTGGAGCTGTATCTTAAAGGTTAGAAGAACATCAGTTCATACAGTTCAGTTTAGTCTTATTAGTATCACATTTTGGTTTGGCTTCAATAGTATTATCAATGACTGCATGTTAAATATGCCTATGTGATTTGCACATATCTGAAATCTAATAAAATATCAAAAACTGGACCTTCTGGACATGGTGGTCAGATAAAAAATTTATAACACTAAAGTGACAAAACTAGACCTGATTTTTAGCAACAATTGTTGATAAATAGGTTGTTTGTCAACATTTTAATTTTTTTCCCAAACAAAGGAGCTCTGTTATCTCTAAGCCATTTTTCTTTCTGCAAAAATATTTATGATTATTAATCTAAGTTAAATTATTTCTCACAATTTTTGTTAATCAGTTCAGCGCCAACAGAAATGGTTGAAAACAGTTTAATAACAAGGAGGATGGGTGGAAGGGAAAGAACACAGAAGAAAGTAAGCTATATGAAGATTATATGATATAATAGGATATAAAATGAAAAGAAATTCAGTAAGAATGCAAAAAACAACCACTATAGCAGAATGTAAGTTTTAATGAATTTCTGTAATGCTAGCCATGAATATAAGTATATGTAATAAAATCCTTTGTATTCAGTATTCTCTCTTGTGTGCCACTTGCACTGCTGCTCAAATTAAATCCTTTGTCATGTTATTACATGGTTATTATCATAGTACTTTTCTTTTAAAACGATACACAAAATTAAAAAATAGCACACTTGATCAAGAAAGCTAGGGTAAGATTTTTGCCAACGCGTTCTGAGAAGGAACATATAATTGCCGCTGAACATTTTAAACTCCCAATTCTTTATTACACTGAATTTTCCTATTCAGTCTTAAAATATATCTACCATAAAGCAAGTAGTTTGCTATGAATTTTAATAATCTAGTTAGCTTTCACCCACTAATGCCATTTCTAATTTTGAAGCACAAAGGAATTTGTCAATTCTCCAATTTTAAAAAACAGGAGTTTTTGTTAAACAGATTTTTAGCATAATGTAATATTCACAAGAGGAAAAGCCTTATTTCTCAGAATAACTTCACTCCTTTGAAATATTAATTGAGAAAACACTACAAAATATGTTATAGTTCTATACAATTGTATACCATAATGTGCATAACAGTACTGTATCAACTACTGTTGATACGCACACACATTATTAATTCCTTTTGGGACTTTAATGACAATGACTCAAAATTGTGACATACAGGAAGATTGCCCATTTAGAGGAATGTTAAGAGAAAAGAAGAAAAAGTGCTGTCAAAGTGATGTAACATTTTATCATTATTAATACCACCACCCTAAAGCAATATACATGCAAAATAAGACTGCGAATGCTCCAAAATGATTTGGAAAAAGGAAAATTTTGATCTCAAGTGAGCATCTTTTTGCTACTTGCTATTGTGAACTAACTTTCTTCATGTTTCAGCACAAATTAGTCTACTGATTAAGAGTCAAATTAACTTTAAGGAATTAATTCCTTAAAGTACTGGTGCTGCATAATTTCAAATTTCTAAAAAAATGCACAACTCTAGCATAAGTAAGATGAGAAATAAGAAAGCGCGCATAGTTTCTAACATGGGTATTCTGCTTGCTGGTGGATAGATTGATAAGCTTTCTACCTGATAAGTAACTATATTTAATATGATTTTATTCAATATAATAACAAGGCCTTATCTAAAACTAATGTATTATTTTGCTACTGTATGAAGCCATGTTTTTGCTATACTTTTACTGTCTACTTTGTAATGGATCTTTATTTTACATGTACAATAAGAATTAAATTTCAAATGCTGTAATTTCAAAACAAAGTAGCCATACTTCTCTACATAAAAATTAATTCAACTCTATTATTATTTTCCTTCAAAAGTCAACTATTTCTCTATAAATACCCAACTATACTGCATTATGAATTTCAGAAATGAAGGCTCCATTCTGGTTCAAAACTCCTGCACTAATCACACACACACACACGTGCGCGCACACACACACACACACACACACACACACACACACACTGATTGGTTTTGCCTGATAAAGAGTCCATATTTATTTTTGGAAGCACACTTTTAAATATACCAACAATAAAACAGCCATTCAGAGAAAGGAATCATTTGCGCAATAGCAAACAAATAATGATACTCTTTCTAAACAAATTGTTCCAATTTTTAGATATTTTTTTCTCATTTGAGATACACAAAGGAAATTTTCAGAACAAAGTTGATACACTACAGTTACAAAATGAATATTGCGTTCTAGCCACAGGAAGATCATACCTATGGATTTTTTTTATCATTCCATTTAGATTAATTTCAATTACTGTGAAGAGAAAAACTTAGCCTTTTGTATGACTGGAAAATATAGCTGTAACCTGAAGTGATACCGTGTCATCATTATTAAGTGCATCCAAAGCTATCATCATCATCAATAAAGCATTGTTGATTCAAAAAGTTACCTGCCATATGCATATTAGAAGGTGACTCTTCAAAATGTGTTATGACACAGGAAAACTCTCAGTTGAAAGCCATTAGTACAGACTATGATAGGCAGTCAAAACAGGTTATTAGCTGGGGAAAAAAGCTAGTAAGATATTGTATGAATTAGCTTAGAAGTCATGCCATTTTGGATCAAACTTGTCTTACCACACCTACTGATGCACCAATGAGTATAATGCAGAAACACAAAGATGTTTCATACTGATAATGATCTGAGTATGTTGTTGCTTACGAAATTGCTTACAAATACTCAACTGTTTCCAGTGCCATATTTCCAGAAAAGCATACGTACAGTTGTTTAATCTCTGAACTAAAGACTAATTTGTACTATTACACTGTAAGACAAAACCAACCTGAATCGTGAAAGCTGACCTCAAGTGAGAGTTGTCCTCATTTTCATTTTGATGTCAGGTTATCAGACCTGTTAAAAGCTGTATTTACAAGTCATGGTAAATGCTTGGGCATTTCCCCTATGCTGCGTTCATGTGTGTGAGAGGGATGAGAGGGGAGGAAGGAGTAGGGAGGAAGTAGGATGGTTAGAGGAGATGGGGAGGGGAGGAGAGAAAGAGGAGGGAAGTAGGGAAGGTTTAGAGAGGGTGGGCGCAGCCTGGGGGGGAATGGGCAGGCGGTACCAATGGTTAATTGTATTTTGTATGAATAAATGGAAAATAAAAACATTTTTAATTAAAAAAAAGCTGTATTTACAGGTAATTTATTTATTACCAAAGTGTCTCTAAAACAGAAATCTGATTGGAAGAAAATAAATCAC